TTGCGACACTGTCGTCGGCAGCGGTTGCGCCTGAAAGACCACCCACCTGCGCACCCCCAATGGTGTCGAGAAAGTGCCTCGCCTGCTAGGCTTTGCGACAGCGTCGTGGACAGCGGTTGCGCCTGAGAGAACACCCCCTGCGCACCCCCTATGGTATCCAGTTCCACGCCTGCTAGGCTTTGCGGCACTGTCGTGGATAGCGGCGTTGCTGAGAGACCACCCCCTGCCTTTCTTCCAGAGAGTGCCCTCTGCTAGGCTTTGCGACAGTGTCGTGGATAGCGGCCGCGCTGAGAGACCACGCCATGCGCACCCCCTACGGTGTCGAGGCAGTGCAACGTCTGCTAGGCTTTGCGACAGTGTCGTGGATATCGGCCGCGCTAAGAGACCACCTCCTGCGCACCCCCTGTGGTGTCCAGAAAGCGCCTCGTTGTGCTGTGCTGTGCAGTGCTGTGCTGTGCTGTGTTGAGCTGTGCTGTGCTGAGGTGCTGCGCTGTGCTTCGCAGTGCTGTGCTTAGCTGGGCTATGCTGAGCTGTGCTGTGCTGTGCTGTTCTGAGCTGGGCTGTGCTCAGCAGTGCTGTGATGTGCTGTGCTATGCTGTGCTGTGTACGAGCTGTGTGTCAATGTGCTGTGTGCTGTGCTGAGCTGTGCTGTGCTGTTCTGCGCTGCGCTGCGCTTCGCTGTGCTGCGGAGAGGAAGGGAGGAGGGGGGGAAGGAGACGGGAGGGGAGGTGTGTGTGTGTGTGCGGGAGACGCGGGTGCGACGCGGCAAGAATGAAAACCATCACCCCACGAAACATGTGGGGAACAACTCGGAGGTCCTCGCGGATTTCTCGGATCCGCTGGAGCCCCTCTGGCGCCGCCCCTGGCGCGCTCCGCGCGCCAGGGAGGGGGGTCCGGCGCCGATCCGAGATCTGCGCGGACCACGGAGTTTTTATGCTTATGTCATTCTTCGTTCCGCTAGAAAGGGGAGGGGACAGGGAAAGGAGGGGGCTACGACAGCTGCTGCGTCGGCACCGCCGCCGGGCGTGTTCCTTTGGATCTCGGCATCGCTCGGCCGTGTGTTTTTTGTGCTCGGCGAGGACCCTCGAGGAGCATCCTGGATCATCGGGCCACAAATGCAGGCGCGAAACCGACGGGGCATGGACGTCCGAGCGATGTCAAGGGGTGCGTTGGCCCATCCGGCGCCGGGAGGCGCCGGGAAGAGCAGCTACGCGAGGCGGTTCGCTGGGCCGCTCCTGCACCGACTTCCCCTTTGGTCCGAGGCAAGAGAGGGACGAAATGCAGTGGGAGGGACGTGAGCTGGTTCGCTGGGCCGCTCCTGCACGAACTCCCCCTTTGGTCCGAGGCAAGAGAGGGACGAAGTGCAGTGGGAGGGGAGCAGGAGTCGGAGAAGGCATCATGTTGTCTGTTGCGTGCCTCCAGGCCTCCAGGCCTCCAGGGAGGCCCTCGTCCCCACGGCAGGCTTCGCCTGGAGGTCTTCGTCACAGCGTGCCCGCTCCGTGGGAGAGACGCCGCGCAAGACACATTTTTGTTTATGCTGTGCTCGGAGTTCTCGGGTCGGCGCTGGAGGCCCTGGAAACGGCATGGCCTTTGCTTCACATGTTCAAAGCCTTGCTTCTTGATTCTTGATTGTGAACGGCAGTGGAGCGCCCGTGGAAGAGAGCCCAGTCTTGAACCGAGCAGTGCTCAGCCCAGAGACAGAACCGAGGAGTGGAACGAGAGCAGTTGCCGAAGCTTAACACGGAGGCTCTCATGAACGGCTCCTCCTCCCCCTCCTCCTCCTCTTCCTCCTTGCCCCCCTCCTCCTTCTTCTCCTTCCCCTTCTCCTCCCCCTCGTCCTCTTTCTCTCCTCCTCCTCCTCTCCTCCTCCCTCCCCCCCCCTCCTCCTCCTCCTCCTCCTCCTCCTCCTCCTCCTCCTCCTCCTACTACTACTACTACTACTACTACTACTACTACTACTACTACTACTACTACTCCCCCCTCGTCCTCCTCCTCCTCCTCTTCCTCCTCCTCCTCCTCCTCCGCCCCTGGGCGGGGCGGTCTCACGCATATGATGTGGCCGCCCCGCGCCTGGCCGCACCGTCATAACTGCCTGGCGTATACCGGCTCCGCCGGGGCCGCCAGGCCCGCCTCGGCGGATATCGGTGCCGGGGGCGGCGTCCTGGCCGCCCCTGGGGGCTTCCAGGGCCGCTGCCCGGTGCTCGTGGAGAGAACGCATTCAACACACAAACATAAACACACACACACACACTCACACACACATACACAAACAAAACACACACACACACAGAAGGAACATGCCAAACACGTGCGTGTTTTGCGTGTGTGTGTGTGTGTGTGTGTGTGTGTGTGTGTGTGTGTGTTCTCTGCGTGTGTTTTCCTTCCCCTTCAGAGGCGGGCTCACTTCGGCGGGCGCGCCCCAGCCGCGCGCGCCGTCGAGGCGCCCGAAGCCAGGATGGCCTCGACAGGTGCCCAGCTTCCGGTTCCGGGTGGCTCAGCCCCGCGCCCAGTCAGCGGCGCCGTAACAGGTACTCACTAAGGGGTACTTTTGAAAATTGCCGAAAGTTGCCACTTTCGGGCCTCTTTGTGGCATTGCAGCGTTGCCCACATCGGGGAGGGTTAGGTTCGCAGGGTCACTGGCCAAAGTACCCGTTAGTGGAGTCCCCGTTAGAGGGGCGCCGACCCAGGGGTACGAGCCCTCCGTGCCCGGATGCACTCAGGTTCGGGTCCAGTGCACGACCTGTGCGGGCAGATGGCCTCTCGGCGGTCTTTGCCCCTACAGTGAGCGGCTTGAATAAGGAACACCTACTTTCCAAAAGGGGCTCGGTCGTTCCTTCGGCTTGCATGCGTGATTTACAGTTCCTCATGCGTTACTTGTTATTTATCGCTCCTTATGCGCTATTCCTTGGGATAAAAAAAGGGGCTTCGCTCCTTCCTTCTCGTTCCTCGGGTCAGGCCGAGGGCTGCAGGCCTCTGCCCTCCCCACCGGCTCCCCCCATGGCACTCCCAGTGCACCTCGGCGTCGGCTGGAGCAAAAATGCAGGGGCAGCGTCAGGGGGCGAGTGGCCCCCGCGGGGGTACCTCTCCGCTCCGGATGTGGCCCCCGCGTCGCCGCTGGCGGCCCCGTGGCCCCCACGGCGCCCAGGGCCGTGCGGACTCGCATCGCCGGGTCCAGGCCGATGTGCCCCCCCCGCCCCCTCGAGCTGGTTCCCCCGGGCGTGTCCCTCTACAGGAGGGATGCTCAAAAATAGTCCGAAGATGCACGGGGGCGACGTTTTCACACTACTTTTTGAGGGGGGGCATTTTGTTTGGTATACCTTTGGGGTACTTTGTTATCTGTCGTACAAAATCCGCCTGTAGGGCGGCATGCCCGACCTAACCCCAGCGTTGCCCCTCACATATCCCCATCCCTATCCCTATCCCTGTGTTTGGTATCGCCTCGCCTCGATGCCGATCTGAAGGATTCCCTCGGCTTCTGAGGGCACATCCCCAAGATTGTCCTCGCTTTTTGCTCGCCCATCTTCAGGGATACGGATACTTTCTATTCGCAGTGAGTTGTCCACTCCACTGCTCGCGCAAACATCCCACCCACCCACCCACCCGCAACTTGATTTGCAAAATCTCTGAAGACCATCTTAGGGGTGGGGATCAGTTCGAGGCTGGTCATAGTCCCCCCCCAGCGTCGCCCCTCACAGGAGGGTCTCGCTCCCCGCTGGAGGCTCCTCCCGGCAGTGCCGGCCGGCTGCGCAGGGCCGAGGATGCGGCGAGCCGAGGGCGTCTGCGTCACTACCACGGGGCCTGGCTGGGGCCACCCCAGCAGGGTCGCCTACGACCCGATTCGATGCGATGTGACTCGGCGGTTGGGGTAAAACAGGGCTAGGATCGGGATAAATTGCTCCAGAGCGTTCCGGAGCGCTCTCAGAGCGTTCCGGAACGCTCTGGAGCGGCCGCGGCGCCCAATACATCCTCCAAACCCGCCGATTCTCAGAGATTTCGAATTATCCCGATCCGATTTTGTCCTGATCTTCGCATCGTTTTATGGGGCCGCGATTCCAAGTCTCGGGAACCTTGAGACGGGGGTCAATGCAAACGGGGGTCAGAAAGAGCGCCCGATCTTGCATCATCCTGCAAGAGCAGGGCCGCTCTGGCCTGGGTTTGGGCGCAGGATCCTGCAGGATCTTGCAGGATCCTTCGCGTTGACCCGGGCTTGGGGTTCAGGATCTTGCAGGATTTTGCAAGGCCTGGCTGACCCGGGTCTGGATTGACCCGGGTCAGAAGATCCCCGAAAGTCGATGCGATCCGGCTCGGTTCACCGGCATCGGCCAGGGCCAGCCGGAAGCGGGGCGCGGCAATGCGATGACGTTATCGATCCGATGCGGGACGATTCGCCGGCGATCCGATCCGCGCTCGGTCCCGATCAGACCCATGTGGTAACTCTCCCATGTGGTGGCCCTCCTCGCTTCGGCCAGAGCAGGGCGTACGTACACATCACGCCAGGGCGCAGGACCGCCCTGGCGAGTCACTGTGGCGGGGCGTAGGGTGCGACCCAAGCCCGCTTGAGCCTCGGCCCCCCCGCAGACCCCTCGCGGGGCTCCTCCTGGCCGGCTTCCCTCGCGGCAAGCCCGCCCCTTGGGCCCGAACCAGGCCTCGAAGAGGCCCAGATAGATCGGGCAGCGGCAACACTGCGGGCACGAAGTGCATCTATACATCCACTGCGTGCTGGCCTCCTGGGGAAGGGACGCCACAAGGCCGAGGCGCAGGGGAGACCTGGACAAACATCGAGCCTCTACGGGGCCAGATGTTTATCTATATATCCACTGCGCCCATGGTTTCTGGGGAAGGGAGCCCGAAACTCCACGACGCAGTGGGTATGGATACAGATCTTGGCCCGCAAACGAGCCAGAAACATCGCGGCCCAGGCGCCCATGTGGGTGGTGTGCCGGCGCCCGCCTCCTGCGCAGGCTGCTGCGGCCTCGCGCGCGAGCGCGCGCGCGCGCGAGGTGCACCGGCGCCGGTGGGCCCGAGGGCGACGGGCACGATTGCGAGGTCGGCGGACTTCCGCGGGGGGGACGACGACGACGACGACGATGCCGGCGCCGACGACGAACACGACGACGACGACGAAATCGACGACGACGACGAGAAAGACGACGACGACGACGAAAAAGACGACGAACAAGACGACGACGACGACGAAAACAACAACGACGACGACGACGACGACGAAAAAGACGACGACGACGACGAAAAAGACGACGACGACGACCAGGGACAAGGAGGGGCACAACGAGGATCGGAGGAGAATTGCCAGCCTGAAGCATGTCATCGAAATGCCGACAGCGGCATATGCATAATTCCTCGGAGGTCCGTGCAGATGTCTTGGATATGCGCCGGGGACCTAATCGGCGGCGCCTCCGGCGCCGCCCCTGGCGCGCGCCGTGCGCTGGGGAGGGGGTCAAGCGGCGATCCAAGAAATTCGCGCGGACGTTGTATAGTGCACGCATGTTGATGTCACTGTTTGTTCCTCTGGGCAAGATGCTGAAGTATGGACCACTTCATGATCCACAGGGGCTCTGGTCCTCTGGCCGCTCCTCAGAGTTATAGTGTAAGCCCATGCCAAGGAACACCCTGCTTGCCTCCAGGGTGCCCTGGGTTTCTCGGGTTTTGATCGTTTTGCCATGGACAGCGTGACGTTCCCACACCAAAAATCAATGGACGTCCTGGGGTCTCAGGGTTGGATTTCGTGTGGAAGGTTTCTTGTGGTCGAGCTCCTACTGTAGCGTTCCTTCACGTAGCACGCTGGCTGTATCCCCATCCCTGTGATCGGCATCACCTTGGCTCGATGCCGATCTTGTGTCTTCTCACAGCTTTGGAAGGATATTTCTCAGATTGGCCATCGTATCGGGCTGGCCGATCTTCACTCCTCCTTAGGGGGAATGACCCTCGCTGCCACGGCTGGATTCGCCTCGTGATCGTGGAAAGAGCGCACCCCAGGAGAGGTCTGAGGAGTAGCCCGTATCTGGTTGCTCCCACCAGGAAATGAGGGGAGTAAGGAGGATGAAAGGGATGAGCAAGCGGCGGAGAATATGTATGGCCATGATGGTGATGATGATGGTGATGGTGATGATGATGCTGCTGCTGATGATGATGATGATGATGATGATTACGATGATGATGATGATGATGATGATGATGATGATGATGATGATGATGATGATGATGATGATGATGATGATGATGATGATGATGATGATGATGATGATCGTGGTGGTGGTGACGATGATTGTGACGATTATGCTGATGATGTTGATGATGGTGTTGATGATGATGGTGGTGGTGACGACGATGATCCTGATAATGATGGTGGAGGTACTGGTGGTGGTGGTGGTGGCGATCATGGTGGTGATGTTGATGGTGATGGAGGTGGTGATGATGATTAGGCGGACGAGGAGGAGGAGAAGGAGGAGGAGGAGGAGAATGAGGAGGATGAGACCGAAGAGGAGGAGGAGCCGGAGGAGCCGGAGGAGGAGGAGGAGGAGGAGGAGGAGGCCCAACGTCGCCTGCATTGGGGTGACATGGGTATGTGGAGCTAGGCTGAATCGAGGAGGCGGAGGTGCCGCAGGAGCATCCGACATGTTGGAGGGTGAGGGGCAGTCCACGGACGCCCCCCCCAGGCGGGGCAACCTGCCGCGCAGATCTCCTCCCTTCTCCCTCCTCTCTCCTTCCTCCTCCCTCCTCCCTCCTCCCTCCTCTCACAAGCGGGGAGCCCGACGACGGACCGACCGGGCTCGAACAGCCGGCAGGCGGCCTCGCGTCATCGACAGCCGCGGGGGCAGTGCCCGAGCAGCCTCGCCCGCAGGGGCGGGGCGAGAGCGCCCTCAGGGGCGGGGCGGGGCGCGGCGCTCGGGACGCCCTGAGACCTGGGCGATCCGCGCCACTGCCCTCGAGGAGGAGGAGGAGGAGGAGGAGGAGGAGGAGGAGGAGGAGGAGGAGGAGGAGGCGTGGGAGGAGGAGGAGGAGGCGTGGGAGGAGGAGGAGGAGGAGGAGGAGGAGGAGGAGGAGGAGGAGGCGAAGGAGTCTCAGGTCCGCGCCCCCTGGCCGACGGTCCAGCCGCCGCGCAGGGCTCACGGGGGGTCCCCGCTCTTGTTGGGGCGCGCCTCGGACCTATCCGGGGGGAGCTGGTGCGTGGCCGGGGCTCGACGTGGACAGAGCAGCCCCATGCGTTCCTGCGTCGCAGCTCGTCCTGGTTGCCGGCACGATGCTTCGGCAGGTCCAGGGCAGGCGGGCGAGGGCCACGAGGGCGCGGCAGCTGCGGTGCAGGCCACGGGCCCGAAACGTGTGGCACCGTGGGGGGTTCGGCCGGGCAGCCACCTCGTGCGTGTGGTCGCGGGGGGTGACATGCATGGGGGTGACGAACAGGGACCTATAGGGGCCCCTTAGGGCCCCCTTTGGAGTCAGCACGGGCCCAAGGGGGGCGCTCAAGGTTGAAGCCGTGGTGTCCTGGACGCCCCCCCGGCCGCGGGCGTCCGCGCGGGAGGCGGGCCTGCACTGCGCACTGGCAGCAGCCAATGCCCACGGCTTGGAAGTGTGGCTGTCCCCTTCGCGTCGGCCATGCTCTCAGCTCGAGGGGGAAAGGAGGAAGTGTTCCCGCTCCAGCGCGAGCCATGCTCCTGGCCCGAATTGGCGCTCTTGCTTTCGCGTGGGCTGCGTTCCTGTGCCCGCCTAGCTGTTGGCCGTACTCCCGCCCAGGTCGAGTGCTCGCTCCAGCTCCGGCGGCATTACGTCCCAGCATGGGCTGGCGCTCCTGCCCAGGCGCTGGACTCATCACCGCTCCAGAGTGCTCGCCGGCTCGAGGTGGTCTAGGGTTTCTCTTGGGAGCCGTTGGGGCCCTGCTGGGTTCCTCTCAGGCCTCAGCTGGGCGCCTTCGGGCGACTTCAATTTTCCTGATGTCCAAAGGGGGCGAAGGCGGCAACGCCACTACCGTTCCAAATCACACATCACACTCCGCGCATGCGCATTCGGGTGAGGGGGGAAGGGTGATGCGTGCCCCCAAACACGGCCCCAACTTGCAGCCGCCACGTGTAGCCCCCAGCGTGTGGCGCCCACCTGTGGGCCCCAAGTTTGCCTCTGAAGTGTGTGTGTGTGTGTGTGTGTGTATGTGTGTGCCTGTGGCTTCGCATGGGCCTGCGCGACTACACGCAAGTGTGCACAGGCACGCGTCCTCTCTTACCTCTTGGTTTTATCCAAGGTGTCGTAGACTCCGCACTTCAAGTTCGAGTCTCACTAGAATATTTGTGCGCGAAGCGCGCGTGGCTTCAGTTTTCAGCAAGCGCGAATGTTTAGACGCATGTCAGAGTGAGGGGGCCGAACGGTCATTCACTGTCCCTGGGTGCGTGGCTGAAGTGGAATTCCGCGGTGCGGATTCTCGTTGTTGTTGTTGTTGTTGTTGTTGTTGTTGTTGTTGTTGTTGTTGTTGTGTTGTTGTTGTTGTTTTGTTGTTGTTGTTGTGTTGTTGTTGTTGTTGTTGTTGTTGTTGGTTGTTGTTGTTGTTGTTGTTGTTGTTGTTGTTGTTGTTTGTTGTCGTCGTCCCACCCGCAACCCGCCCCGCGACCCACCCGCGACCCAACCCGCGACCCACCCCGCGACCCACCCGCGACCCCCCCGCGACCCACCCGCGACCCACCCCGCGACCCACCCCGCGACCCACCCCGCGACCCACCCCGCGACCCACCCCGCGACCCACCCCGCGACCCACCCCGCGACCCACTTCGCGACCCACCCCGCGACCCACCCGCGACCCACCCGCGACCCACCCGCGACACACCCGCGACCCACCCGCGACCCACCCGCGGCCCACCCGCGACCCACCTTCGACCCAAATCACGTTGAAGGTACAAGCCACATTTTTCGGCGCCTGCGGCGGGCATCTTTTGCATTCGTTTCAGGTGGAGAGCCCGCGGCCCATCCGCGACCACGTTCAGGGTACAAACTACATTTTTCGGCGCCTGCGGCGGGCATCTTTTGCATTCGTTCCCGGTGGAGAACCCGCGGCCCACCCGCGACCCAAACCACGTTCAATGTACAAACCAATGTTTGTTGGCGCCTGCGGTGGGCTGCTTTTGCATTCCTTCCAGGTGGAGGTGGAGAGCCCGCGACCCACCCGCGACCTAAACCACGTTCACTGAACAAACCAATGCCGCACAAACGCGGCGGCGGATTTTCGCATGCCGCCTGAGCCCGCAAGGACCTCTTCAAGCCCCGCGCATCCACACCAGCCCGTCCAGCAACTTTGCCCTGGCGAGTTGCCTTGATCAGAGAAGGCGGGGAGCATTCAGTGGAAAAAAAAGACTGCGTTTCAGTTATCTTGGGAAAGGAGGGGGAGGCAGGAGGAGTAAACAGGGGACGAGGAGAACACGGAAGAAGAGAGGATGTAAGGATAATGTGGAGAGAGAGAGAGAGAGAGAGAGAGAGAGAAAAGGAGGAGGAGCAGGAGGACGAGGAGGGGGAGGAGGGGAAGGAGGAGGACGAGGAGGGGGAGGAGGGGAAGGATGATGATGATGGGCGGCAATGGGAGGACGATGATGGAGGCCGATGAGGGGGAGGACGACAATGGGAGGACGATGATGAAAGGACGAGGGGGGGAGAGGGAGGACGAGGAAGAAGAGGAGGAGGACAAGGAGGAGGAGGATGACGATAACGATGAGGACGAGGACGAGGAAGAGGAGGAGGAGGAGGAGGAGAAGGAGGAGGAGGAGGAGATCGCCATCGACAGGGAAAGTGGGGGCCACGAGGTCCGCCGGCTCGACGACGCCCGCATCGCCCGCGCCCGCCCCCTCACTCTTATCCGCAATTGCGGGGTGATACGTATATGGGTATAATGTATACACTTGTTTTTGGGTGTGACGATGTATATATGTGCATGCGAGGTTTCGCCGCGTTCCCTCCCGTCGCCGTCTTGCTGCCGCATGGAGCTGCGGGTGGGTCCGGCAAGGTTTGGCCA